CCGTACCACAGTCACTTCTGCTCTTTGTTTCTCTGAATTTTCAAAGTGTCTCTGCAGAGAGCTTCAGGAAACAACTACATGACATCATTTAAGTGCAGTGCATTATGGGAAATCAGGCTCATTTATTGACCACATGGGGGCAGCAGATGATGATTTATAGTTTTGACACATAGCAGGCAGGTTGAGGTCGAGTCCAAACTGAGAAAGCAGTCTGTTAGTGTAGACCTGGTCCACGATCATTTCTCCTCCTCCTTCAGGTTCTGACTTTATAAAACGTCTCTTCAGCTTCAGGCTCGTGTTTACAGTGAGGGAGGGTTTGTGACGACAGGAGAGACAGAAACTGCGGCACACTGACCGGAGATCTGTTCATCAAGAACATGTATTCACAGAAATCAGACCTCAGATCAGAGCTTTATTCTGAAGGAGACCTGAAAGGTTGTTTTAATGTGAAGGTCAAACAAGGAGACTCAGGGCGCACTCACACAAGGTGTTTCCACTGTATCATGTGTACATGATGTCCTGTCTTCACTTGTAGCTACAAATTGATCTGTGATTGGTGAAGTGACTGTGTTCATTTGTTTTTAAGATGACGCTGTACAATGTGACCCTTGTCTAATGAAGAGCAGGTGTGCTGCAAATGTCACCCGGTGAAGTAAAGTTATGGAATATGGCGCCCTGCAGTGTGCGAGCCGTCTTTGTTTTTAGGTGATTTCTTTGCTCGACTGCAGCACCTGCGCTCTTTGGTTTAGCGAAGATTTCAAAGTCCGGGGCGCTGGTGGAGCAGTGGTCTGTGTCCCATGTGTGGCGGCCCAGGTTCGAATCCCACCTGTGGCTCCTTTCCTGCATGTCATTCCCCTCTCGCTCCCTGATTTCCAGCTCTATCCACTATCTCTACATGAAAGTCGCAAAATGCTCAACAAAAAAAAAAAAAAAAAAAATACGTTCATGTCATGATCCGAAACTGTGCCCACCGTTGGACATCCAGCATCGTAACACCTTATGAGAGTTTAAAACAAGGAGCAGCCGTAAAGGTCGACTTTACTGTGGCGTGTTTGTTGAGAACAAAGCTCCATGATGGCGTTCCTCCTCTGTGCCGCTCCTTCCTGTACACACAGAGCTATGCGGTTAATGAGCGAGTCGAGTCATCCTGTCAATTAGTATTTATTATTCATATGTCCATGATGACTGAAGGCCTGCTGTCTGCAAGACGCTCTAAATGTTTCTGCACATTCTGAACAAGAATTTAAAGAGACAGAACTCAAATACTTTCACAGTTAGTGCCGGTGTAGGTACCAGATGTGCTCGGGTGTTCAGATCAGACTCTGGGTCCTATGCCTGCTAGCTACGTCATACAATATGAAGTTTTATTCGCGATATCAGGGCATAGAACAACACTTCCGCCTGCGACTATAGAGTGTTTCTGATTGGTTAAGCTTGCTGTTTCCATGGCAATGTTTACCGCCCCTCGGTGCCGTATGCGAACAGATAAGTCCCGCTAGCAGGTTAGCTGGTTAGTTAGCTAACACGAAATGTACTAGCCTAATAACCTTGTCATGCCGCAGTGAATGTAGTTTATATTTTCCACAACACAAACTACAAGATAGTTTTAGTAACAGTATAAAAATGTTAACAACGACAAAGTGCCATTTAAGAAGACACAATATAATTCGCAATGGATTGTGGGATGGGTAGTTCCTTGACTTTGGACGAAAATCATGTACACAGTCTTGTACCTTTGTCTTTTTTCAGTTTTTTAAAGCCGTTTTGATGCCAAATTAAATGTCCTATCGTCAGTGGGCGGTCACTGTTGTGCTCAAAGACCCACAAAACCGTGAAAACTATAATTTCTCTGCTCATATTGTGACTTCACTAACAGACGCAGGACCCCGAGTCGATCTGAAAACCCGAGCACATCTGGTACCTACACGGTTAATCGTTATCTTTCTGACAAGGCGGCAGATAAAGTTGAGAGTGAATGAAATGCTTACACTGCGGCTGTGCTTTAAAGGAGGAGTTAGTAGAAATGTTTGTAAACATTCAAACTGGGCCCCTCCTCCTGGGCTCATCTCCCACCAGAAGTTCACCCTCTCTGCAGGACATAGTGTGTACGTTTACTGCTTGTACCTACACTGCAAGCTAACGCAAAGCTAGCAAAAGTTAACTGCCGGTGTTTGCCTGTCCAACAGGAAGCAGAACAACTCCACGTCCACGGGTAAAAAACAACACAAGGTTTACCCCGTTTTAGAACGAGCTTTATCCACTTGGTGTTTCTCCTCACTGTGATTATATTTTCTCTTCTTAGCTGCTACGTCCACGTCCGTCATATTCACCGGTTTGAATGGCGTCCAATCACTGAATTGTATCCTCTCCTAAACTCACCTGCTGCGCTGTCATTGGCTGGAGGAAACACACCAGCTCTGCCCAGAAACGTCCCGAGTCAACCAGAACAAAGCAGAACAGTGAAATCCAGTCAGAGGACAGAGTCTCTGCATACACAGTCACCACCACACATGTACGGAGGCCCAGAAGGGACGATGGAGCAGCTTTACTTCAGGAGAAGTCTCTATTTTACTTTGAAGGGACATGATACTGACTCTGTCTTTAACTTACCGTCCTAATAATCTGACGAAACCAAACACAGCGGGTTATATTTTGTTATTTTTGGTCCTTTCTGACACACTAACCTTCGTTTCTGTCCCGTCACTCAGAAATGACCACAGCAGCAGCAGCTTTAGTAAACACACTGACCAGATTTATTTTGTGATTTTACATTCCACAGTAGAACATTTCCTTTTTTTTCTCCTATGTTATGTTTACTGAACAGACACGTTACTGATGTTAAAGGTTGATAGTTTGTCCACAGTGGAGGCTGCAGTCTCTCTCTCTCTCTCTCTCTCTCTCTCTCTCTCCCCTCTCTCTGCATCTCTCTGTCTCTCTCTCTCTTTCTTTCTCGGCTCTGCGTCTCTTCGTCAGCGAGGATGGCGAGGGTCTGGTGGGTTGTTATGAAGCTGTTTGAGTTCTGCTTCGATCCGTCAGTCTGAGTTGTTGCTGAAAATGTTTTCTGATGTCCTGCAGGTCCACGTCTTTGAATCTTTGCGGGTTTTCTGGGATTTCTGTCGGTCTACAATCGATGTGTTGAAGGAATCATCATCTGAGGAGAACATCTTAGAAGACCTCACTAAGCAGACAGATAAATGAAAGGGGTGTGTTGTGACTTAAAGCTCGGTCTGTGTTCGCGTTCAGGCGTGTTAAGGCGCTTGAACACCGTCGTTCCCTACAAGCTTTCACACCATCAACAAATTGCAGCTTTTATGTTTTTGGACTGATGTTTTAGGACGATTGGCTTTTGATGGATAGGCTGGGTCTTTGTAATATAGCATAAGTAAGGTCTTTTACCTGCTTTTTGTAACATAACAATGAGTATGGTCTTTTTACCTGCTCTTTTGTAATGTTAACAGACAAAGAGTAAGGTCTTTCACCTGCTTTTTGTAAAGTGTCTCGAGATAACGTTATGAGTTGACGCTATACAAATAAAAATTGATTGATTGATTGAATTGATTTACAATCTGGCACGCTCCAGAGATTGACCTCGGCGTCTGCTTTGGAAACAGAGGCATCCACTAGAGGGGCCGGGCGCCGTCCGCTGCCCCTCCATGTGGTCATCAGCAGCATTATGAGCGTGTGTCAACTCTAACGTCTCTGTGTGTGTGTGTGTGTGTGTGTGTGTGTGTGTGTGTGTGTGTGTGTGTGTGTGGTTTCTGTAATAAATACACACTTTAAAACAGATTTTTAATAGAATGACGAGTTTTGAATGAAAAAGCAGCCACTGACCCTCTAACGTCATTATTGGTGCGGAGATAATGGTTTGATTATCTGAGGAAAGGCGGGTTTATGAAGAGGGCATTATGTAATCATATAAGATGATGTTATTATAAGATGAATCGCTGGCCATCCTACGCAATCTCTCGTCTGAAAGGAGGCTCAGAGGAATCACGATGATGAAATCAACCACAAATTAAAGATGTGAGCAGCAGGAGAACATGATGGGATATTATTATAATTACATTATTATTTAACATCTGTGGTGTCTGTTTGCCCTGCTCTCTGTCTGAAAGGTGCAGCTGGAAACACAAGAGGTTTTTTTGAACTCTTTGAAGAGGCAGAGAAACGTCTTCACACAGCAGCCGTCCCCTCAAAATAACCCAGATAACCTCTGACACTCTTCACCCCTAACATACTCTCTGAATGTATCTACAAGCAGACGGCGTTTAACTCCATGTGTCCTCTGTAGTATTTAGACTGAAGAGGAAAAGACAGGATCTCGAGGTCATCAAAACGGAGGGCTCAAATTCAAACATGCCGTATTTCATTCTTGTCTTTTCTCTATCTTCTTAAATTGTCAGAGCAGGTTAACGCCAGATCAAACATGCGACATGTCGGTGGTATTCTAGCTTTTTACATTTGGGGATAACTGCATCCACAGGTTCGCACTCGGTTGATTCATGAAGTGGGACAGTAAGAAGCGCTTTGTTTCACAGTTAAAGAGAAGTCTGTCTCCAATGCACTCAGACGTCCGAACGCTGTGTGGCGTTGGTGTGAATGCTGGATTGTTGGTTTGTGAAGTTACAGAAATGGTCGGACATCTTTATCCTATCTGATCGACGTGAGAGTCAGGTTTCTGGAACGAGATGTACATGACTACGCTTCATGCCTGGACCGAGAATTTTCAAAAGTTTTGAAAACTTCTGGACTTCTGGACTTCTGGACCCGTCTCCTCCTCATGTTCACCTCTCATGTCTGTGAAACCTCTAGAGCAGCTTGATATGATCTTACTGATCTGATAACTGGTGTCAGTCAAAACCCTCATTTAACTCCCCCCCCCCCCCACCATGTGCCCACTTTCTTCTGATTGGCCAGCTCTCTGAAAGCCTTCTGATGGGCAGAACGCTGCAGGGCTGCCAGGGGAGGGCTGCTCTCCAGTGCTGGGAGAAGAGAGTCTATGTAAGAGGTTTCAGCGGCTTACGTAGAGGCTTGAAGCCTTCTGGTGAAATTCTTGGTTTCATATCGGGGAACTATGGCATGATTTACAGAAAAAGGCCTTTTAGCGCCCTCTGACTCATCCTGGGATTACCCCAACGTGTTTCCAGCTGAAACCTGGCCTACGTTTAGCATGGACAACATTTTTCGTTACCAAACTGTAGTTATGTGGATGTTTATGTTGTAATAGTTTCTAATACCTTTTCTAAACTGAAGACATAATCTGAGTGAAGTCGGCAGCGTCTGACTGACGCAGCTGAAGACATAAAGCAGGTAAACCGTGGATGCACACATGTACAACTACCACACCCAACTGGTCTGAAAGACTGGTGCTGATTGGTTCGACACTTCCAGGATAGATTATTATTATTTAACGATTTACGTCTCATTTCCACTCGCGTGTGTGTAGGGGGTGAAGTCAACCGGAGGTCTGTTCATTCCTACGTCATTGATACCCGATGTGTCAGTGAAACTCCCCCCGTAATATTTAAATCTGGGGGGGTGCGTCGAGTACGTTGAAAAACATGAACTTCTGCTGTGAATTTTAGGGAGACGGTACGGCAGTGTGCTAGCACAGCTAAATTATGCTAAGAGCTAATAGGCTATTTCCTTCGATTCAGTTGTCGACGTTGATCGTAAAGAGAGTTTGCGTGATTCAAAATAACGTCTTTATCCAGTTTTAATGTTAATGTAATAACATATGCTTATTCTTTGTATACAGTTTTATCGATGTGTTAAAACGGACAGAATTAGCCCCTCCCCCTTTCCTCCAGGAAGCTTCGATCAGATTTCTAAAGACATGCACTTCCTTGAGCCGGACACTAGGAGGCATCATCTGTATATTAACGGATCTACGGACAGGAGTCACATACGTAAGTGGAGGCGTTAGTGGATGTGTAATTTGTTACTTCCTGTAGCATCTTGCTAACTTCCTGCTGTGTTTGGTCCCTAGTTATTGCGGTTTGATCCTCGTCTCTACTGTGCATAGAAATATTCACCCTCCTGTTGGTGTGTGTTCTGATGTCTGACTCATGATTGTTTGCAGAGGCCTCGAGGATTCCTGCAGAAGCAAAACTTTTCTTCTTCAGTCTCTCTGGACTGAAACCTTTTGAACCTTGAGCTTTGATGCTGTTCTGCTCACAGAGAAACCTGCTAGCGCTCCACTGTTAGCGACAGAAACAGATGTATGTTAGGAGGAGGTATGGAGCTCCAGGAAGCTAATCTGTAGTTTACTCTCATCAGGTGAGGTTCAAACGTCGCTCCGAGCAGCAGAACTCAGAGTCTCTGCTTTCTTTAAAAATACTCCTCTTGATCTGCCGTGTCTGCTGGGAATCTCCAGAACAGACGAAGGAGTCATTATTCAGGAAACGCCACGTCTCCGTTACGTCTTCATCGTCTTCTTCCCGAGGCAGGACGCCGCTTTGTCACTATGATTCATCTTTACAACTTTTTTCAATAGAGACTGCGAAACAAACACCTCCCGCACATACACACTCACACACACATTTATCTCTATGACTAGAATGGAAAAAATCAGACAGACAAAACGTTTGCTCTGAAGAAACGTCCACAGTTCGTTCACTACGTGACGGGTTCAGTAAAAAGGAAACACTTTGAATCAGAGAGGAGTGAATGTATAAAATGCTAAATGGAGATACGGGATCATTGGACGATTTGGAATGCATCTACACGGGAATGAAAATGGTCCAACATGACAGGTCCTGGTTGTCTTTTCTCTGGAATATTCTGTACAATAATGTACAAGAGAGATGGTCCCTGACCTCTTCAACGCCACGATGTCCCCAAAACATCCAAGGGACCAAAGTGAAAGTCAACGCATAATCCAACCCAGTGAGTTCAGAGTTTGATGTTTGGTCCTCTTTTTTCTGAATTGACCACCAGGAGGCTCCACAAGGCGAGTCTAGGAGAAACCTCCTCAAGATCTTTAATCGATCAAACGACAGTTTCCCTCCAATCCTGAGTTCTGCTTCTCCCCGCAGACGAGTTTATAGAAGCCTCTTCACGTGTTCACCATTTAGTCCTTCAAAGTCCTCAGAGAGTTTCCTCTGCAGGGTTTCTCGGTCACGGTCCATTTCAGCGTCCACGACAACTAAACAAGCACAACTTCAAATGTTCGATAATATTTCTTCAGTTTTTTTCTGTTATTTTCAAGATCATCAAGACAGCCATTTTTAAACACACACACAGATAAAAAAAATACCCAGGAGAGACTGGAGATGATTGGATGGATGAAGACGTTGGACAGTTTTTCTGTTTGTTGATTTTGGGGGTTCAGTCGGTCGTCTTTAGCAGACGGTGCCGTTCTCCTGTCGGGACTTGGGGCAGGTGGATCGGGGTATCGGCTGGACGGAGGGGGCCAGGGTGCAGAAGAAGCCGGCGATGAGGGTGAGGCCGAGGCCGCCCCAGGCGCAGAACATGGACCAGCCGTAGCCGTGGCCGATGTCGTCGGGCAGACCGTACAGGTACCGCGGATAACGGGACAGCTCGAAGTTGATGCCGGCGACGCAGGTGCAGAGGGAGATGATGCAGAAAGTTCCTGAAAGGACAGAAAAAAAGAATTGAACCTTTTTTCAGTGTGAGAGAGGAAACAAGAAAGACATCAAGCTCACATCAGAGATCTAGAAAAGAGAGTCAGGTCTGAGACTCGCCATGGTGTCCACTACTAATTTATATTCTACTCATTCTCTTCAAGCTTTTCATGCTGCAAGTAGTTATTTAGAAAATATGAAACCTGGGTCTGTCCTACCAACACATAACGGATCACTATGCAAAGTTAGCATGCTGAGGTCGCTCCTCACGTCCCGGTGTCACAGAGTTTGTTGTGTCCATTTTTGTTCAAGCTAACAAACCTTGAACCTAAGAAGTCGCTGAGAAACGTGATCTTTACAGCTGAAGGAGAGCTAAGTCTGAGAAACTTCACACAGAGAAGAGTTTCTGCTCGTTTGTGATCATCACCTCATGAAGATGCTCTTCCAATCAGTAAGATGTGTAGTGAGTTAAATGATAAAGTGAGCTTACTATATGATCAGACATTAAGGAAACATGCTATGTTGACGTGCTGGCTTCTCTGACAACAATGCAGCAGCCAGTATGTCCTCCTTCTAACTTTAGATTCTGCTCCTGAATGCTCTGGATTTGTTTGGATCAGAGAAGGTAGGCGGTTTTAAGGCACCCCCACATAGTGGTGGGCGATATAATGATCTTAGATCGTGAAAGATTTTAACGTGCTGACGATCTGCCAAAGCAGAGAGATCGTAGAACCGGGCTAATGTGTTTATTCTATCATGCTGCAGTTTATGCTCCGACACAGACGCGTCGCTCCCTCTTTTGCTCCGCAGCGGTGAAAACGAAAACGAAACTTACTGCAGTACCCATTTCAAACACTAGTTTTCAGAGTTACATGTTGCACGGATGCAACCAAACACCAGATCCTTGGTCAGAAGGGTCTGTGTTGAGAGAATACAGATTATGGCACAAACCACAATTTTTTTCCAAATGACCCCAAGTCGTTCTGATGAGAACTTAAATGTAATATTTCATGAAACAGACAAAATGGTTGTTGTTAAGTACATGGTTTGGTTCAGGTAAAGATCTTTGCTCATGCTGAAATAGTGCATAGATGTTTATTTAAAGGGAGAACAGCTTTTGTCTTGGATAGTAAAAAGTCTATTTTAGGGATACCTGCAGTAAAGATAAGAGCGAGGAATTGTGTGTGATCTTTGAATAATTAGTTATCGAATGTAGAACACACAAACATCTGCAGAAACAGATCACATGTAGATCAGCATGCCACCACACCATGGCCTCTCTCACAGGGCTCACATCATACATCTATCTGTGTTTGTTCTCTAGTTTCCCCCCGTTATGTTCACTGATGATTCCTCTCCTGTGGACTGTCAGAGAAGCAGACTCCGAGTCTGGCCTGGTTTTTGGGGGCTGTGTGGTGCTGCGGGCTGCTCTGCTGTGATTTGGACGCTGCAGACTGACCCGGCTTATTTCTGCTGCCTTCACTGCCAACAAATATAATTGACTTTTTAATTGCCTGTTCATTATACAACTGTAGGGCACAGCACTAATCCAACAGCCGTCATAATCGAGTGTGCAGCCGCCGCCTGCCAGAGCTGTGCATGTCATAGCGAGAGAGTGTGTGTTTGTGTGTGTTTGTGTGTGTGTTTGTGTGTGTTCAGAGTTACTACTGACTGTCCACGGCCAGAAACTGGGACACGCAGGGCTGTGTGTGTGTGTGTGTGTGTGTATGTGTGTTAAGGGCTGCGGGGGCTGAATGTGCACACTCATACACTACACTTTCATTCACCAAGAGAAATCAGCACACGCACACACTCATGCACGCACACACACACACACACACACAACCCCACCCACACACACTCAGATCATGTTTCAGTCGTTATTTGACTTTTGTTCTGCGATAAAGCTTTAAGAATAGAGCTCTACTTTTTCCCTGAATATGCATCTTGACACCGTTGTTCAGTTGGTTAGCTTAGTTTATCTTAGCCTAACCGAGCTTAGCTTATTTTAGCTTAGCGTAAAGACTGAAAACAGAGGGAAACAGCCTTGCTTCATCCAAAGCACAAAAAGCACCACAAACCTGTGAAGCTAATCGTGCGTCACACTTAAGTCCAGCTCCTGCATATTTTATGAATGAGTGTTTGTGTGAGTTTGTTGAAGGAAGGTTAAAGAGGCTCACTGTGTTTCAGCTGATCTGAAGAATGACTGCTGAGGACAATCCTCGTCACCATGAACTTCTTACTCATCTCTAAATACTGCCTTAACGTGTGCAGGTGTAAACACGCTGTGTGGACGCTGTCAACTTCTGTGAAATGGTTTCTCTCCGATCAGAGGGAAAATGAGTTAAACTTTCACATTTAGAATATTTGTCCCTCCCTGCAGGTCTCTTAAATGAAATGTGTAAAAACAGCTGATCAATGGAGGCTCAAAGGGAAATAAATGAATACATGCAGAGTTAAAGTCTGAACGATCTTTCTAACATTAATAAGATGATGAATCCACGTCTGACTCACCTCCCATGAGGAAGAGGAGTCCGGCCACGTACTGCATGAGTCCTCGGTCCCAGCAGCAGCCGAGCACGCCGATGACCCAGCCGAACAGGATGATGGCCACCGCCATGCCCATGAAGCCCGCCGTCATCCTCCGCAAGTCTGAGGACACAGGAGAGGAAGAAGAAGAAGAAGAAGAGCGGTTACACATCAGGAGAGAAATGTGTTCTGTTCTCTGTTTGGTAAGGTTTATTTTCTTTCTCAGCAGCTGTATTTGTGATGATAAAGGTTATTGATAAATGTTAAACTTCTTATCTAAAGTCCTGTTTGTTAAAGTCGTGGAAACGAGGACAAACAGGAGGACGAGCTGGAGTGGGAATGAGGTGATGAGGACAGCAGTTTGCTCTGCAGGAGGCTAATGACAACGACAGCTACACGCTGAAAACGCACAAACCAGAGGAGAGAAGAAGAGCTCGGAGCAAAAGCAGACTCCCCCCGCACCAGAAGATTAAAAGTCATGGCTGAAGAGCGCCGTCGGGGGGGGGGGGCGGGGGAGTGAAGGAGGACTCGGGTAGAGGGTCAACGAGAATAACAACGACACACCTCTCTACCTGCTCAGGTCTGAGCTGGATCATCTTTAAATATCAGGTTGCTTTCTCTTCACGTCTTAATGAGGTGCTGCCGTGTTTCTGACAGTGATGCGGCTCCGGGTGAGTCCTTGTCCCCCCTCACAGTCCGTCTGTCAGATCCCATCAGCCGTCAGCTCGTCTCTCTGTCAGGACTCACATCCTGCAGGTCACCAAGGGGCTGAAGGCCTCGTGGTGACCTCCAGAACAAACGGCCTCCTGGGTAATGATGATGTCATTTGTTCCCACGGGATATTACCCCAACCCCCCCCCCCCCTCCCCCGCCCTCTGATTATGACCCATCAGCTCCCTTACCCATTATTACGTTATTATTACTCGACTTAGCCTCGTTATTTATGATGACCCTTCAGCTGCACGGACGAGAGAGCAAGACGCCAACCAGGAAACAAAATAATAATGTGAATATTTAAAAATAAACATGATTTATTATAATAAATACATAATACGTTTCTAAATAATAATTTAAAAATAATGAATAATCAACAACAGATATCATTGGTCAAGAGAGCTAGCATCAGCTTAGCATGTTTTCAAACCCAAACGGAGTCCTGTAGGAGATGATACGATAAGATATGACACAACATGATCTACCACGACATGACATAAAACGGTGTGATACGATATCACCTGACACAAAATTAAAAAATGAAACAATACGACTCAATATAACACGACTCAATATGAGACAGTGAACTTGTCCCTTTGGGTAAATGAGTGTTGGTGTTTTTGCGCTGCCTGCTCAGAAGAATCAGTAAAGAACAGTCTAACAACAGTCCACGTGCCGCAGACACACATTGCACATTACCGTCAATGTGAGGAGAACTGGGAGCAGTCTGCAGAATGCTGTTCAGGAAAAGTGTCAGAAAGATATTTGTAGAGACTAGTGACAGGAACAGAAAGTGTCTGATCAGCAGAAACTAATCTGAGGGGAGAGTCTGACTCCAGGTGAAATGTAATGTTCCTTAACGCAGAGGATCATCAGATTGTTCAATCAAACTCCATCGCTGACCTAGAGGTCATCACTCTGATCAATCAGACGCTTTGCAGCTGAACACCTGATCACCATTCTACCTGCAGACAGGAAATCAGAGAGGAGCATTCAAGAGCCTCAGGACAGTGAGGACACACACACACACACACACACACACACACACACACACACACACACACACACACACACACACCGGGCTGTCAGTCAGGAGCAGGAGAGCAGCCAGCAGACAACTTTTACTGAATGATTGATCTCAGGCCAAACTTGAGGACACGTGTACATTCAGATGAATATTTCTGATCAAACTCTTTCATGGACTCAGGGGCGATTGTAGAGTCTCTTGGGACCCTAAGAAAGAATCAATTGGGGGGCACTCCAACCAGCATTCGTCCGTCATGTCTGCCAGCATCCCGACACTTTCTCCCATAGATGATCCTTCATTTTTCTTTGGTTTGGTTCGCCTCTGCATGGACTCAGAGACTGAAGAATACAAAAGTGATGCAGATGAGTTTGACGGAACAAAGACAGACATGTCATCAGAGAACACCTCGGTGTTAATCAGGTTCAGATCAAATACTGGATTTGTCATCACGCCTGACATTCAGCATCAAGTAGCGTTCACAGTTATTCTCTGTTAAACTGCAGAGGCTTCACTTCAAATCTGTAATTCAGTCCATTTCCTTCATGCTTTGGAACCACAAACGGCCCATTCTGTTGGTACTTTAAACCAAACACTGACTTTTATTACAAACACTTCCTCTGCTGGGCCAAACAGTCTCTCTCTCTCGCTCTCTGCCGCCTGCCATGTGGGAGCTTTTCTTTTAGGGACTTTAAATGTTTGAAATTATTCTTCTTTCTGTCCTGATCTGTCCTCGCTCGCTCTGAAGCTCGACCGGCTTTCATTCCACATCGTGCAAAAACTCTGCAGAGGATTTTCTGTTAACGCTCCCGACCGCTTCTAACAGAGACTCTAAATGTTCTGACCTCCAGCTTTTAGAAACCCAAAATATTTAAACTTTAGGTCAAATGTTCACACGCTTATAAAATCTTCATTCATGCAAATGTGAATTTAATTTGTGCAGAAAGGCTCAAGTTCAATGTCATCACAGGAATCATTTAAAAAATGCTCAAAAGAGAAAAGTGCTCTTTAATTAATACAACTTAAAGTCAGGGTTGGTAATTTCCTCCACATCCACTTTTTAAGATGTTGGTTGAAATTGTCTTTAGTCCTGACAGAAATTAATAACTCGTGTTCTCTGAAAAAGGAACGAAGAAAATCCGTCATCTGTAGCAGTTGTAAGCCTGTAAAAACTTCGACCAATGTCTGCCATGAGGTACCAATCTGATGAACCAATCACACGCCTCCTTGTCTCCCTGCTCGCTCTCTACCCATTGCGTGCACTAGCCCACACTCAAAGCGCTAGTTAGTTAGTTGCAGAGAAACGTCAAACTCTTAAATCAAAGAAATCAGATGTTTGTCCCTTTAAAGGTCACAAAGATTTAAATCAGTGTTTACAGTCTGCAGTAAAGACTTCAGAATCTTTCTATGATGCTGAAAACAAAGTGCAGCCTTTGTGCTGTGACGACAATGATCTGAGAGCGAGGAGACTCGAGGTAAAAATAGCTGCCGGTCGAGTCAGTCTGTGTTCAGTGTGCACGGCTGACCTGTATCTGCATACAGTTTAACCTGTGTTCATGGGTGAGTGAGCAGTGTCAGGTCTGATGTGGATACCTCACTGAGAGATGTGATGCACGCCGTGATGCTCGTCTCTGCAGCTGTCCGCCTGTCTGTCGTGCTCCGCGGATCCTGAGAGCTTTTTACAGCAGTCAGAATTCAGACGGGCACTCGGGCCGAGTGTTCGCGCTGTCAGACGTCATCCGTCCCGCCGCAGTTCACTACATTTATCCCCCCCCCAGAAGTTTGGAAAAGATGAGTGACAGGTATCCCCCAGGTGACTCTGTGTGCACCCACCTGTGTGCTGAGACGAAGAAGCAGTCCGTCTGTTTTACCTCCATTGTTTTGCCTTTGTTGGTGTCTCTAAAAATGTTGTTGCTTTCAGATAAACACTCAAGATCAGAACAAAATAAAGGTTTCAAAATGTAGAAATAAACTGCATATTGTAAAATCAGATGCTTCCTTAACAGTCTGACATGTTGATCTTCCAACACAGGTTCCCTTATTTCATCTGGTTAGTCCTGACCAAAATATGAACTGACCATTCCTTATTGTCCACGTTACCGTTGTTCGTTCAGAAATTGCCGCTCTACTTTGTTTTAGTTTTTTCCTCTTTTAGTTCCAAACTTTGTTTAACTTGTTTTTTGGATCGCTGGTCTCATTGCTAGACTCGTCTTTGACTTCTGGAAATTGTTGTGTTTTTGTGGGCCCCTAAATTTCCCCCGATTCTACTTCTCCAACATAGCGGGCCTCCTTCTCTTAGTCCCCGAAGTTGCAAACCTTGTTCCTTTAATTCTACATTTTGTTTTGTTTGATTTTTTTAGTTCCTAACGTTACTGGTGTCTTTCTCTTAGTTCCTGAAGTTGAGCAGCCAATTCTGGCTTCAGTTGTTAAGTTCCAGTATTTTGGATTGCCGGCCTCATTTTTCCTCTTACCATTTCTGGTCAACCACTTCTTTAAAGATGTAATGAGTTAAAGATAAATACTTCTTTTATTGGTCATGTTTTGTAATTTGTCGGGAAAAAGAAAACAAAGATTTGAAGCTACAGCCGTTATCAACGCTTTCAGTAAGATGTTAATTTGAGGGACTCTTTTAATTGGCTCTGACGTCTTTGTCTGTCTGAGGTTATTGTGAAAATGTTTCAGGATGATTGTTCCTTTCATGACACAAGCCGCCATTCTTCTTTTGTTAAATAGTGAGAGACTTCTCAGCGTTAAGAGGAAACAATGGACGTCGTCATAAAAGACAGAAATAATGAAATGTTCAATCAGACTGAGACTGAAGGGGTTAATAAGAGGAGCAGACGATCACAGCGATCGACTCGTAGTCCTGATGACTGAATAACGCTCGTGTGTTTACTGTATCAGCCGCTAACAGGCTGCTCGCCACTCTTTAATAGCTTCTATTGTTCAGCGCCGTGCTGCTTTTCCTTTTTAATTACCTTCTGTGCAGCAGGACCGACGGCCCGATGAAACATCCATTCATAAAGGGGAATGAGGAAATGTTATTCTCTCAGTTCGATTGAGAGGAAAACGTCCCGTCTCAGAGATCGTCTGTTAATCAGCGGCCTGCTTGGATTCTGTGAGAACGAGCAACGTTGTTTCAGGGAACGGTACCGTGTGGTCGGAGATCTTCTGTTTGTGACCTCAGCTACCCCCAACTCTGCTGGATCCTCAGGATCCCAAAGAGGAGGGGTCATTTCTCTATTGGAGGCGAAGATGCCAAAACAAACCGCAACCAATGTATCATGTTCAAATGTCCACGTCAAAGTATCCCGCTACAAAATGTGCATCTAAATCCAAAAATGTAATTCATATCAGCTTATCAAGGGGGCGCCAGATGGGGGGG